AGTCGGTAAAATCAAGTATAGTATACAATTTGGTTATGAGGTGGCTGATAGCTTTGAAGGATGTTTCTATGTGCATAAATAAGTTGTTATGCGTTTTTCCAAACCAACGGCATAAAGTTTGATAATCATAGTATGCAAGGCAACAGGAAGTGAAACACAATATATTTTTTGTTATAGTCAACAGCTGCGGTCACTTACGCGGCAGCGCGCTCTTCGGTGGAGAGTCCTCTAAGCGTAAGTGGCTCTTCTTCGTCATTTCCTCGTCGTATTTACATCACTATAGATTTTACTTTAATGTATTTAATGAAGCATTTTTTGGTGATGGGACTCTATCAGATATTCGGTTACAATCTGTAATTTCAGATTTTTATTCATACGCTCTAAGAGTATGCAATGTGCAACTACTCCACCTTTTCCATTTGTAGATCTAGTATCCTAATGGGGACTTTTGAACAGTTTGATGAGGGGATCTTTGAACTAGATGATAATCACAAGTTGGATCTTCCCATACCATTTTCTGCCTTGACGCCGACAATTCGATCCCTTGATGATGCTTTAAAGCATGATCTTAGTTTATCAGAGGAGGAGATTGCACAAGATGCTGGTGAAAGACCTATAAAGAATGTGAAAAGATCGACTATCATTGATGAGTTCGGCTTTAAGATTGATCGCGACAGTAAGCAGTGTCAATTTGTGTGAAATTAACTTATTTAGTGAATCCTTATTTAGACCCTACCATCCCATAGGTCTTAAATTTTTTAACCAACTTGATTATTTTTATTTTGAAACAGAAGAAGGATTGCCACAACCGCTTGTTGAATCGGTGGAAAATCGCCGAATCTGGATGGCTTGCCTCGAATTCTCCTACACTAATCGTCTCAATGATTCGAACGAGGTTGGAGAGGAGTGTAGTAGTGAAGATTCTCTCTGGAGTCGCCTTCTCCCTCGGATAAGCACATCTCCGCGCTTGACAGAGCTGGTCCGGGGGATAGAGGATCCACAGAACTCCGGTGAGCGGCTTAAGTGGTCGGGAGTCCCTAATCTTGGCTCTAAGCTTAGTCCTCGTAATGGCATTCCTCACTCCATGCGCGCTCAAATTTGGCCGCGTCTCACTCGCGCCTACGAGCAACAGCGAACCAGCAATGAGGGCGGTAATGGTGGTGGCAAGAAATGCCCACTTAGCTATGCAGAGGTCATTCGACACAGTTCCTCCGTATCTCCAAAGATCTCCCGCCAAATTGAGAAGGTTCGCCTGACCCTAAACCTTCATCTAAGATGTTATGCAATTTCGGAAACTGACACTCGGTTTCTTGTTTAGGACTTATTGAGAACAATGCCTAATAATGTTTGTTTTTCCTCGGCGTCGTCAATCGGAATCCCTCGGTTGCGTCGACTGCTAACTGCAATTGCCTGGGTCTACACTGATATCGGCTACTGTCAGGGCTTAGGTGCTGTAAGTCATTCTTCAAGATCTGCGATACGTACTTTTATGGATTTCTTCCTCTCACATCTAAATAGCATGATCATGCTATCAAGCTCCTTTTCTAAGGCATAATTTTCTTCTAGAAGGACACTCTTTTCTGCATAGTTCTCTGATAAATACATTGGTGGCAGCTTTTACTCTTTTATTTGGATCTGCTTACTTTTGAATCGTAAGCTTGTTTACCTGGAATGTTCATGTTGGATGTACAGGCAGTTGCATTGTACGATTTCCAAATTTTGCGGTGTGTTATTTTGTGGATCACTGTATTGTTCATGGCGTCGACAATCGCATTTCAGGTCTTTGTATTTGAGGCTGAA